ACTTGCCCAAGATCATATAGCTAGTGAGTGGCCAAGCCAAGATCAAACCCAGAAATTCTGGTTTCAGAGCTCATGCTTTCAACCACTGTACCATCTTATGTCCTTCTCCAAATGGAGGCATCTGAGCACAACCGAGCTCTGGGCTTCATTCTTTGACACTCTCTTTCTGTGTAACTCTCTTTCTTCTCTCTCTTTCTGGGACACCACTTCTGTCTTAATCCTCTGGCTTGAGTGGACCAAAGACTTGTCTTGGTTCCTCTTGGTTTAACTGGTTGTGACTGAAGCACTCACAGAAAATTCTCTGAACCTCAGTTTCTCCATCTATAAAATCTTGGTTTAACTGGTTCTGACTGAAGCACTCACTTCATATCTCTGAACCTCAGTTTCTCCATCTATAAAATGAAGACCAAACTACAAATCTGAAATGACTTTGTTTTCACAATGTAGGTTTCACATAACTAGCAAAACCAAAAAATTATAATTGAGGTACAACTAACTTTCAGTTACCCTAACGTCTTTTAGTTTTAGGTTTAAAGCACCCCAACTGCTTGGTTGCCACCCTATTTCTTACACTCCCATCCTGCAAAAATTACTATTTGAAGAAAGCTTTCCTTCCTCTCTTGGCTTTGGTCCAGCCCCTCAAAGAGCACGATCTTTTATAAATGCGTATGAATGGAGCAGAAAGGTCTTCCTCAAAGAGTAGGATGGGGAAAACTATGAGGATTTTTTTGTGGAGAAGTGGGCTGCTTCTGTATTTCTCATATCTTTTTCAATGAGCAAACAAAAAAAGCCATGGACACTCTGTGGTCAGAGATTAAACATCACAATATGACTCTGTTTTCATTTTCAGTTCTTCCAACGTCCCCACCAAAACACTAACATAATTCCCAGAAACTGGCACAGGAAAATTGTGATAGAATATCAAATTCTGCTTCCCTTTGACTTCACTTTGCCCAATTCCCTACTAGGTAAAACCCAGGTAGTTAAATAAATAAATAAATAATCTGGCAGAAGTTGTGTCCTGGCAGATAGACAGGAGTGTCATCTCCTACACAGGCTGTCCTGGCTTGGTTTGCTTGCTTTTGTCAATTCTGATTCTCTATAAAAATATTAGCTATCCCCAAAGCCATTAAAGCATCTAACCAGGATAAATAGTTCCTGCCTGAGAAAAACAGCCCTCCATTGTCAGACATTCCCTCTTAATTGATCTTAATAAGCCATTTTAAATGAAGGGGAAGAAAAAAGCAGAGCACTAACACATGGTAATTATCTGTAATTCCCCATTTGTAATGTCACTGAATAGAGAAAATAATGCAAACGTGGACAGATGCTGACTAGAGCTTACACTGACATCGAAATTAGGGTATTTTGTACAGTAAGTAACATGACTAAGCGGCAGTATTTCAAAGGCAGGTCTTCATCCCCACAACAATATCCAATACCAGGGACTGCTGGGAACAGTCAGGAGACGCAATTTCCATAAGGCATGACCCAGGGGAATAGGCAGCAGTTTGGCATTGTGGCCTAAAAGCTGATCGGTGTGGCAGACTCATTTAGCTGCTAATATTTAATGTAAAATTCAGTAATTCTATATCAGCTTTAAAGTGAGGAGAACAGACTCCCCCTGCCTCCTAATTAAGTTTTTGTGGGTTTTTGCCAATTTAAAGAACTATAATCCCAGCACTTCAGTGGTCATTTGAAAACAAATGTCCTTATTTGACGATGATAGAAACACAGAGGTTGTCTCACAGCTGTGAGTAAAGCCCACAGGCCTCAAGTGTGGTGGAAGACAAAGTGGGTTTGGGAGGGAAGGGGTAGGGTCATGCAAAAGTTAGGTAGAAGTTAGACTGAGCAGTGGGAGGAATGCTGGGAGGCAGAGTCCCAAGTCCTTGAGGGGAGAATGAAAGAGACAGGAGCTGGAGGCAAGGACAGTGATAAATAGGTGACACATTAAAAGGGGGGGGGGGCACAACATCCTGACCTTGTGGCTTCTAAGACCTTGGGGCTGACAGATCAAGAGCCATGGGTACAGAACATAGTACTCCCCTCTTCCACCTCTGCCCCAGGGTAACCCCTAAACTCATTATAATGCATCTGAATTGCAGGTATAGCCCCGCCCATGCCCAATGGCCAATGGAGAAAAGCTACCTTGATGGTTCTGGTACAAACCTCGCAGGGTCAAACACTCCCCCTCCCAACCTGTGGGAGGAGTCTCCCAAAAGATTGGAAGCAGCCTCCACTAGAGACCACCCACCACACTGTTTGTCCCAGAAAGACCCAGTAATATCCAATCCCAAAACAACCTAGGGCCTGGTTCCACCTCCTGGAACTTGTAAGCTCTTCCACCTTGAGAGTGTCCTTTCACCTTAATGAACTGCTTTGTACTTGCTACTTTCCTTCTGGCTGTGTTTATTCTGAGCTCGGATCCCTATGTATCTTTTCATGGGGAATCCAAGCTGAGACCTCCCCATTCACGCAAGGCAGACTCTCCCACCAGTAACAGAAAGACCACTACTCCTTAGCTTACTGATAATCTCATCTTCTATCCTGACCAGTAACCAACATTTCTCTTCTTTACCTCTTTAGGCACCAACAAGTAATCTTGAACGCTTATCATGTACCGGAGAGCTGTGTGCTAGATGCTGGGGTTGCTATACCATTTCCGATACACTCAACATAACGAGAACAACTTTATCTAATGTCTCAGCAATAAAACAACTTATCATGTTCTTAAAACTCCACGAATCTCCACTCCAGAAGTGTAAGTGATCTTGTGCTAGTTTGTGTGCATGTGAGTAGGGTGTGTGTGTGCTCTAAGCATTAAGCACCACCAACTGACCCAGTAGCAACAATTAAAAAGCAACAATCTTGGGCTCACAGCCGAAGATGGGCTAGAAAAAAAGATGGGAGCAGGGGCGTCTGGGTGGCTCAGTCGTTAAGCATCTGCCTTCGGCTCAGGTCATGATCCCGGGGTCCTGGGATCGAGTCCCACATCGGGCTCCCTGCTCCGCCGAAAGCCTGCTTCTCCCTCTCCCACTCCCCCTGCTTGTGTTCCCTCTCTCGCTGTGTCTCTCTCTGTCAAATAAATAAATAAAATCTTAAAAAAAAAAAAGAAAATTACTCAAATTAAAAACAGTGCATCTCCTATCTATTTGGGGTGCAATAAATTGGGGGGAAGCTGAAAATACTTTGCTGCTTAGTGATTTTAATTTATAGATAACTTTTTTGTTTAATTATTAACAGTTTAGAATTCCACTGAAATCATATTTTAAACTGACCTAAGGCAGTTTAGCACCTCAAAATGCCTGGTTCTTTTGATAAAGGAGATCCTAGCACTTGGAGGTAGGCGAGAGCTATATACTCCCTACTCTCACACTTACCACCCGCCTCAGTCAAGCAGGCACAAAAACAAGCTGTCCTTTTCAGGAAGGAATTTTTTTAAATTTTTTTATTGTTATGTTAATCGCCATACATTACATCATTAGTTTTTTATGTGGTGTTCCATGATTCATTGTTTGTGCATAACACCCAGTGCTCCATGCAGAATGTGCCCTCTTTAATACCCATCACCAGGCTAACCCATCCCCCCACCCCCCTCCCCTCTAGAACCCTCAGTTTGTTTTTCAGAGTCCATCGTCTCTCATGGTTCGTCTAGGAATTTATCTTTTTGATCTCTGTCACTTACATGAGAATCATGCAAGTTCACCTTGAATGATCACACAACCTTCTCAGGGCAGGACAGCCAAACCTTAGAGTCAGGTGGAGAATGAGCCCTTGGAGAAGTGGAAGGCCCACCGTCCTCACTGCTCTGCAGGTTCTCATTCCCCACTCACCCAGGGGTGGTGGGGTTCTTACAATCCATTGTACTAATGAAAAAGATTTTTCAGCACCCTTAAAGAAAACCATTCAGACAATATCTGAAGTGTTTAGGCAACCAACTTTGGGGGAATGTATTCCTAATGAAGACATTTCCAATGTCACCAAAATACCAAGAGAATAAGTTAATTTTACGCATGCATACACAGCACTATATGTATACTTTCAGTATTCTTAGAGTACACTACCATGAAGATAATTTCATTGTTTCTAGAAAAGGAAAACTTTCCATTTTTTTTTTAAAGATTTTTATTTATTTATTGACAGAGAGAGACACAGTGAGAGAGGGAACACAAGCAGGGGGAGTGAGAGAGGGAGAAGCAGGCTTCCCGCGGAGCAGGGAGCCCGATGCAGGGCTTGATCCCAGCCACCCAGGTGCCTCGAAAACTTTCAATTTTTAACCTCATTTACTGCTATTTTACCAGGCAAATTTTCTCTTGTAAATTTAAATTATTGAAAGCTACTAGATGAAATTAATGTTGCTGAAATTTTGCAAAATTTGGTTTCATCCATTTTTCTCCCTATTAGACACAATGTCTATTAAACCAAAACAATGTCTGTCAAACCAACTGCTGATCATGGTAAGTTACCATTTATATTTTTAGGATATCACAGTCAAAACCTAAGATTTTATTTCTAACTTCTCACCAAAATGAACATATCTTCTTGGGTTACTACATATGCACATAAGTACCTTACTAGTATTTCATCCTATTTTAAACTTTCGCAAAGTTGAATTAGGTTAGCAATATTAAAATCATGATTCAAAATGAGATTTGTAAAAGAAGTATAGTGTTCTCCAAGGCTTTCCCATTGCAAATCATTTTGATAATAATGGGAAAACTACTACTAATTATACTTTATCCCAATATGTTTAACCCTAACCGCAACCTAACATTCCCATTTTAGAGATAGGAACACTTGAGCTCAGAAGAGGTGGTTGACCCAAATTACAAGATAAAAAGGACACAGGATTCAAAGGCAGGTCTTCCCAGCTCCAAATCCTTAAACTCTTTCCTTTTTGATTTGTTATTGCACCCGAGCCCCTGAACAAATTAAACTACCAAACTATGCAATTCAAAACAACAAAATCACACAAACACGCCATATATCCTATTTCATACCTTTAATCCTCTGAAACTTCCTGGGCTAGTTGGAGAAGAGCTAGAGGATTTTGTTGATTTAGGAGTAGACAGCTGGCTGCTGGGAGTTCCGTTAACTGATCATGAGACAACAGAGGAGAGAGAGGTCATTAAAAGCCCAAATAACCAGACTGTGCCAAAACACTAAGCACATGCACAACATAGCTCCAATGAAGCTTCAATTCATTTAAAGCTCAAAGCAGATGGCAAATCAGCGAAAAGCAAAAATAATGTGTTTTATCGCATTACAAAGTATCAGACAAATAAGGAGTGAAACTAGAATTATTATCAGTAATAGTTTTCCAACAGTGACATAAACAAATATATAAAACATTATGGAATTAGAGATGTGAATGAGAACTTGTCCATATATCCTGCCTGCCAGGAAGAGCAGAGAAATGAAATGGCTGGTATGTTTGTAATACTTTACTATGAAGGCTGTCCTGTAATTTCCAATACCGGTATATACGAACCTGAATACCCAAGAAGTTCTATGGCTCTCCCAAATCAATTCCACCATAATCCAAACACATTTTCTAAGCATATTCTTAATGGAAAGGGAAAATTACTGGTCATTTTTCTTGCAACATCTGCTTATTTGTTTGAAGGCCATAAAAGATACTCTCCAACTTTTTATCTAAACTAGTCATTTTTAATTCTTCCATTTTGTCTTCACAGTTAATTTCTCCCATTATTTAGTAAATCCTGATGGTTTTTCAATAGAAGCCCCTCCAAACTTCCACACACTTCCTAGGCTGAAGGCTCAATTTACAGCATAACTAGGAAAAGGATGACCACTGCTGTTTAGAAGGGAAGGGAAATTTGCAGAGTTTATACTAGAGAACGCTGGTCAAACATTTCAGCATGACTCATGCTTATTCCTAACTGTATCACCTGAATCAATTTCTGCTGTCATTTCACAAAGATGGTTGTTAACATCTAGGACTGGTGTAATTATTTTTCTGAGAAGTATTTGCAACCCCTTTTTATCACTAATCTTCAGTGCTTTTGCCCAAAGATGAAAACTGTTATTCGTCTCTAAAGAAAAGTCCACCTTTTTCTTTTCCTTTCAAATATGAAGCAACTATTATTTTAAATGAAGCAAATAAATATAAAAAAGCAAAATACAGAGGCAAAAGTCCAAAATAGGTGACTCAAAAAAGTGAGCACCAGTCCTTGAGTGGAGGCAAAAGTCTTGGATCAACAAGTATTTGTGGTTAGATGAATCATCTATAAACCGAGGTATCTGGGTCTATGAAGTCATGCTTACTTACTGCATTGCTCATTTTAAATTGGGTAAGGATGAAAAAATTTTCTAGTCACTTTTAACTTACTAAACTTTAATTTTTCTAATTTAAAACCACTCATGCATAAACAATGATCCGTTATCTATAATTTCTTAACAAATGTATGTGCATATTTAGAGTGCAAGGACAACACAAGGAACTGTGCAATTAGAAACTTTTTAGAATATTCAACACTCCTGATCATTTCTCAACTGAGTTAAATTTCAATGTTGTTTTTTTTTTTTTTTTGATTTTATTTATTTATTTGACAGAGACAGCGAGAGAGGGAACACAAGCAGGCGGAGTGGGAGAGGGAGAAGCAGGCTTCCCGTGGAGCAGGGAGCCCGACGTGGGGCTCGATCCCAGGACCCTGGGATCATGACCTGAGCCGAAGGCAGACGCTTAATGACTGAGCCACCCAGGCGCCCCTCAATGTTGTTTCTTTTAAAAAATTCTCTTTAAAGAGTCTTTTTTTTTTTTAAGATTTTATTTATTTATTTGAGAGAGAGAGAATGAGAGAGAGCACGAGAGGGAAGAGGGTCAGAGGGAGAAGCAGACTCCCTGCTGAGCAGGGAGCCCGATGCGGGACTCAATCCCAGGACTCCAGGATCAAGACCTGAGCCGAAGGCAGTCGTTTAACCAACTGAGCCACCCAGGCGCCCTTAAAAAATTCTCTTTAAATAAAGGGAATTGGTGGCAGGAATTCACATAATTATTATTATTATGGGCAATGAACTAGTCAACTTGCTGTGAGCTGAGACTGAATTTTACTTTTTTTTTTCTTCATTCCATACAGCAACCCGTGCACGTCACCAGCCTCTACTCAATAAGTGCTGTTACCTTTCACAGATACTCAGACACCACATTAATAGCAGAGGCTACCTTGGAACAATGACAGAAAAGGGACGAAAGGATAAAAATCAATTCCTGCAAATAGTGATCTTGACAGCAGACAAAACTCCCTAAAACCACACCCCCTGCTAAACACAGTTTCTTGACAAAACTCACTGCCAGGGATTTTACTGGTGTCAGTAACTACATGTCCATATTTCCCTCCAAATAGTCTCATCCTAAAGAGGTACCAAGTCACATTTGGGCTTCTAAGTTTCCCAGAGCATTTGGAAAATTCTAAAAGATGTTCCTTCATGAGTAGTCCTTAATTTCATTTCTTTGCACATTTCTCCCGAGTCTCAGGAAGGGTAAGTGGGACCCAGGACAGGGTCACATTGGGCGTGTTCCCCTCACAGGGCTGCCAAAAACTGGCAGGTGGACAACAACCATTCCACACCTCCATCATGTACCACTCCTTCACCACCCCTTGACTTTCTCTCCCAAAAGAAGGCTGTTATCCACACCTCCCCTCAACTGTAAGGGAAGAAATAAACTTGGGCTTTTTGGTTTGTTTGTTCTGAATATTATCTCTTGGTGGACTCTGAAAGATTCACAAGCTAGAAACCTAAAGTGAGCATTTTTAGGGCTCAAATTACAGTAATATGTACCTACTTATGTTATCCAGATGAATTTCTATGTGTTTATTACACACTGTTGAGGAATTCAGTCAACCAGAATACTGAACTTAGGGTGCGCTCCTATCCCAAGACGGAAAAAGTACAATGTTATGCCTACCAAGTTACAAGTTCTGTTTGAGATTCCAGTTTGTCCCACAGAATTTTCTAAATGTTAACAGGTATATACCACAGCTAGAGGTCTGTAAAAGTGAGTTGTACTTGTGGGTACTTGGCTTTTAATAATACAAATCTCTCACTTTTCTGTAACTGCAGGATGTGGTGAACATACTTTGGGGTTTAATCTCTCATAAAGACCCTGTTTGCCTTCTGAAACGTGATTTAAACATCTCACAACTGGGCGCCTGGGTGGCTCAGTTGGTTAAGCAACTGCCTTCGGCTCAGGTCATGATCCCGGGGTCCTGGGATCGAGTCCCACATCGGGCTCCCTCCTCGGGGGGAAGCCTGCTTCTCCCTCTCCCACTCCCGCTGCTTGTGTTCCTGCTCTCACTATCTCTGTCTCTGTCAAATAAATAAATAAAATCTTTAAAAAAAAAATGCCTATTAAAGATCCAGGTGGAGGTGTTGGATGGAAAGTTGGACATACACAAATCTGAATGTCATGGGCAAGATCTGGTCTGGAGATATAAATTTGGGACTCACCAGCATATGGATGGTATTTAAAATCTTGAGATCAATTATGGAAATGAATGAACATAAGGAAAAGATCTAAAGCCTGAGTTCTGAAGCACAGTAACATTACAAGGTGAAGCAGAAAAAGTAAAACAAGCAAAGAAGATTGAGAAGGAGCAATCAGTATGGGAGGAAGAAAAACAAGTGTTTGTAGCACGCTGGAAACCAAGTTAAGAAGGTGTTTCAAGGAAGTGGGAGGAGAGAGTGCTCACCTGTCAATGTTACCAACAGGCTAAGTAAGACGAAGACTGAGAAGTGGCCACTGAATCAGCAACATAGAGATTAAGAGGAACCTGTCTGACTTGATCACTGCCGTGTCCCTAGCAAAGGGTCTTATTTATAGAAACTCTACAGTGTAGTGTCTCTAACCAAAAGAGGAGCCCCACTCCCCCAATCCAGGTCCTCGCCCTAAGCCCTCTGCCTGCACCTCCCCATCACACCCCAGTAATCTGGTGCCCTGTCCTGAGGGGGAAACAATGATGTCCCCACAAGCAGCATTTAAGATTGACTCAGGATCCCACAGCCTGCATGTGACAGAAATTCTTGGTTCTAAAATGAAAGAAGTTATCCAGTATTGTTACTGTGTCGTGGGTTGCATCTGACTAGCCAAGAGAGGAAAATCTATATGAACACAGATGATACAAAAAACTAGACTGTACTGATAATGAGTAATTTAGGAATGAATGGGAATACTCTCTCCCTCTACTGCTGCTGATTTAAAATACAAGTCCGTTCACATTTTTCACTGTTTGGACTGTCACTATTACGTTCTACTAGACCATAAAGTTAAAATGCACTAGAAACAGAACACCAGCAGAGAAGCAAGTTGATGAATACGATTAAAGGTAAACTGAAATAATATCTGCAGAAGGGGGATGAGCAGGTTTCAGTTCTGTTTTCACTTTCATTGTACAGGAAACTCAACTTATGGTGTTATCTAAGATACACGTATCAGGGGAGCTTGGCTGGCTCACTTGGTAGAGCGTGATGCTCTTGATCTCAGTGTTGTGAGTTCAAGCCCTGTGTTGGGTGTACAGATCAATAAAAAATAAAAATAAAATACAAGTGTCAGCCCATGAAGTATTTGCGGAGCATAAGCTTTTGTCTGGAGCAGAGCACTACACTGCTGAGTCTGTGCCTCTTCCTTTTTTTACATATAGAAAGCATGGACAAGATACCAGTTTTATCTTTGAAAGACTAAACGTGATCACATGTGAAAGCTGTTATTTCTTCATTTTCATTAATTCATGGCCTCAAATACTTTTTTAATTTAACTTAATGGATAATCTTTCCTGTAAGTATAAATAAAGTAAGTACATGCTTTCCTACAAGTTCAATAAATCAGATATTTTCCCAGAAAATACCACTGACAACTTGAAAACCTTCCTTTCATGGTCTTGGCTTGTAGAAAATTACAGACAAAAATTTAAGATATCTTTTTTTTAAATTAAGATATCTTAAACTCCCAGAAATTATATGCAGAAATGTGATTCATGTAATATACATATAAATATACATTTATACATATACTCTAAAATACATATAAATATGTTTATATGTGTATATTTAAAAATAGTTTCTACCAACAGCATCTTGGAATAATTATAAAAGAGAAAAAAGAGATTTGACTTTAATATAGCAAAGCACCAGTTTTTATATGTAAGCTATACACATAAATGTCAACATTTTTAGATAATGCAGATAACCAGAGAACTGTAAGTATACTGTTCCAATTTTATGCTACATATCTGTGCAATACTAGGCCTCCATATAATAGTCATTATTTGCCCGTGCTTATATTTTACAAGCATATGGACTACGTATTTAATTGTTCCTGGTAGTGTCCCAAACTCAGTCAATATTTTTTTTTTTTAAGATTTTATTTATTTTTGACAGAGAGAGACACCGTGAGAGAGGGAACACAAGCAGAGGGAGTGGGAGAGGGAGAAGCTAGCTTCCAGCAGAGCAGGGAGCCAGATGTGGGGCTCGATCCCAGGACCCTGGGATCATGACCTGAGCCAAACGCAGACGCTTAACGACTGAGCCACCCAGGCGCCCCTCCCCTATGGCCATTTTCATATCACCAACGAACATTCGCCTTTTTCGACAACAGGATATTTTCCAAAATTAACAAGAAGGAAGACCCTTTGAGGTGGTATGGCTCCTCGATCCCTTTGTCCTGTAACTACACACAGAGAGGCACTTGGCCATCTTCTGACAACGACTGGTACTCCAATAAAGAAAAGACGCTGAGGCATCCTACGCAAGGTGGAGCATTCCACAGCGCACGGATGTACACTGGTACAAGCCATAGACGTTCATGGAAATGGAGCGAAAGGAAACAGAAATGTGGCAAAAGACAGAAACAAAAACCCAGCAGAGCGACATAGCCATTCTCATCATGGCTCACCTGGGGATCTGGCTGCAGAGTAGGCACTGGAGTGGTGGCCACCCCTCTTTACTGTGCACATTCAGTGAATACAAAGAGGAGGAGACAGTAAGGAGAGCAGTTATTCAGCAGGTCTGAATGCGTATACAGAAAAAGGGCAAAACAACCCGACTGAAGGAAAGTGGGGTGGGTGCTGAAGGGGAAGCAGTGATAAGTATAATGTCCAAAAAACTCCGTCTTTTAGAGGGTCTGGTGCTTGACACAGTTTTATTTGATACTACTTTCACATGTTCTAGATTTCCCACCTGTAAAATCATGGTTTTTCACAATCCTTTCCTTAAAGGGAAATGATATCAGCAAAATTAGTTACAATTACTATAAACAAACCTTATAGAATACATCGAGATATTTATTGGTGTTTCTAGCTTTGAAAAAAACAGTCAAAATTATGACAGATCTACAGGTTTAGAACCTGAAAGAAACTTAATTACAGGTAAATAAGTACCAATTTCCAATGATAATCATTGCTACTATTAAATCACTTGAAGAAGGAAAAGGCAGTGAAACTTACCAAGTAAATACATTCTGTGTTAGATGTATATTTTAAACCAGTAAAAGAAAAATATTCACAATCATACAGCACAAAGCTAAAAATACAGTACGCTGTGGTCCAAATGTGAAACACTTCTACGTAAATACCAGAAGATTCTAAATACAGACTGTTCTTGAGAAAATGTGTGAGAATAAAACAAACAAGTGTCTTAGCAGATTTATGACAACTTTGAGCAACAGACTTAAATTTTTGGTTTTAAAAATCATGTCATCTACATGTTATTTTGGAACCTGGCTGCATGCAAACATGGGAAAGACTACCAGTTTATAATAATTAAAGAAACTGAAGGAGAATGACTAACTACCTGAAGCTGGTGATTTGCTGCGTCGGGAGGGCCCAGGGCTTTTAGATCCAGAATACTTAACAGCTGAGGAGCGAGAATAAGATGACTTCAAGACACGGCATTCTAGAAAAGAAGGAAAGTGCATTAACTAAATCTGGTTTAAATACTAACCAAGGGAAGATCACACGTGAATGTAGTTTACTGCCAGAGAACGATTACCTGATCATTTTTCCATTATTGTAAAACAACTTTAATAGACAAACCAACTGTCCCAAAAGTACACCTGAGGTTATCTTCAGTTAGCTAGGCATCTTTGTAGACCACGTCATTGTTTTCAGTGGAGCTCTTACTGAATACAGAAATTCCTAATGTCCTAACTTGATCACAACTATAAAGCCTAATCTAAACATGGGCAACTTCCTTTTTTAGTCAGTAGCAAGAGTCTACAATTTTTTTCTCTCCAAATTATCTGATAATTTTATTTAAAGGGCATGGGACTCCTTACTGTCTTATTTTCCACCTTCCCTAAGTATGGAGCATCAAAAAATGAGGAAACTAGCTTTCAACAATAACTTCGGTTTTTCCACAAATCACCAAGTAAAACAGCATTTAGAGGACCAGAACTAATTACAGCTAAAATAATCACTGCTAATTTGAATAATTAAGAACACGGGTTTTGGAGTCATGCAGATTTTGAACGAATCATGAATTTGATTTTGCTAACTGGAGGACCTCGGTTAGGTTCTAAGCCTCAGTTATTTCCCCTATGAAATTGGGATAGGAATAAAATCTGCTTCATAGGTTTGTTATAAGGATTAAATTAGATAGCATATTGTCTGTCATTTACGTTAAAATGCTTCAATTTATGTGGTAAGGTTACAATGTGGGTTGGTTTAAATCTATACCTCAGGGGCAATAAATTAACATGTGAAGTCCACTAATCAGGAAAATACACACCAGGGGAGGCTAGTTAGCATTTGAAAGACCCTAATCTAAACCTCGCTCACAAGGGGCTGGAGCAACTTCAGTTAGGTTAATTAGCATTGCGGATGTTAAACAGCATTCTGTTGTTGAACAGAGTGGTGTGTGTGTTAGTCAGAAACATCTTAAAGGGAGTGCCACTCTTTCATAAGCACAAGTGTAAATCTAGAGAACCAATAACTAGAGCTTCAGAACTACACCCTAGTTTTAGGACGCTTAGCCAGTCCTGAAGCCAGTTCTTGAAGGAGGATTCTGTTACTGGACTAAGACTGCATTTAGCATTTTAATGAATCTTTACTGCAAGATGTTGTCAAAATCCTAAAAGGATATGAAGTTAGGACTTTAAGAATAAACACAAGTTAAACAACTAGTTAAAAAAATACACAATTTTTCCTCCAAATAAATATAACAGTGGCAGAATTAGGTTTGATTTTATGACCTGCCGCTGGTGGTGTAATAATGACGTTTACAATAACAAGAGCCATACCACGTACAACAGGTACCCTTGTAACTGCTTTATATATATTGACATAAAATCTTACGAAAACGCCAGTTATCCCCAGTTTGCAGAAGGTTAAGTAACTGGCAACTGAGAGGGAAGAAATCAGTAGCTTACACCCACCTTTCACTATTGGGAGCCCTTTGATAGCTAACAACAAAAACTATGAATGATAAAACTAGCTTAGGTAAGTTTACAACATACACACAAAGCATGGAATACAATGCCTGGTATATACATAGTATGTACTCAATAAATATTTTGTTGTTATTAACCCAATTAACTTTATAACCTAGAAGATATCATTGTGTTTCAGTGTCTCAACTTCCAAATTTACTAAATTGATTGACATCAAAGAAATAATATGAAATGAGATTAAGCTAAAATCAAGATTAAGCTACACAGATGATAATGCAAATGCACGTTTCAGTCAACCTTAATCATCCATGCGAACAGGGGAGAGCATTAGCACACGTAATACAAAAGGACATTCTCTGCGCTTCTTTCCAGTGGTATTACCAGTTTAAAGCAGGGCCAGTCCATCGGAATACAAAATAGAACAGAAACCCTCAATGAAATTTGGCAGCAGTGAGAAAATGAAACAAAAACAAAAAGTATAGATAAATGAGCCCCAAGCACAAAGCAGATAAATTATCCCCAAGGTAACCGACATAGTGTAACAGGAAAGAATTGCACAAGGAAGTTTGGTACCACAAAATGTATCATCTTGAATTTTAAGAAGTTTATAGATCACAGCACTTATTGACGTTTCTATAATTCTGGATGGTCAGAATCACTACAACTGGAAAGGGTCTACCATCAGCCTAATTTTTGAAAGGCCAACTTTCCTCACTCATGAAATTAAAGAGTGAGACATCTTTTACATGACTCTCCTATGTGAAATGTTATGTCTGTATGATTTTACCTCATTTAAAGAGGAAGTTGACTTTACTATCAGCTAAAATAATCACTATCACTATAATAGGTTTAAATAAATCCAAGACGAAAGAGTAAAGCAATTTTCCCAGAATCAGTAACACTTGAAATCACTGGGGTTATTGCTAAAAAGTTGAAAACGCCATACACTGAAGTTGAAAACTCCATACACTGGAGAAAGGGATTTTCTTATTCTATTAATGAAAATAGTTTTATTTTTTTCTGCATATACGAACAATGCATTTTTTTTTAAAGTTGCAAACGATGAGGCAAAAAGAAAGCTAAGACAACCCCGATTAACAATTTAGTTATGATCCTTTTACATATCTCATTATGCACATAGAAAATGTACAACTAACCATTTCAGATTCAATACAATCCATATATTTAAGGTGGCACAGCCAGCCACTGTTCCGAAACAGGGAAGGAAATCCATATCAGAGGCAAAACGATGCAGTAAAAAGACAACTCGTTTTAGACTACAAAATGAAAACTACTTGAACTAAGTTTTTTGTTTTTAACAACTAAGCAAATGCTTTCATTTTATTCTCTACTTTCATTAGTTCAAAAAGAGTACCGCCAACGTCATCTTTCTTCAACATGCCAGACCACTCAGCATGGGCCAACTGATTAAACCCCGAGACTCTGTTTCAGGGTTACCAGGACGGTCAAAGAATGGCCTTACCACTGTGATCCAGGACGAAGTCATCTTGGGCATAACGGAATTTTTCAGGTCCACAAGCAATAAAAACATCATCATCACCAAAAAAGTCTTGCAGACAAGTAACCTAAAAAGGAAAAAAAAAATCACGTCTAAGAGATAAATTAGAAACATTAGAATAGTGAAAGAAAAAGTCAGCAAAATTCATCATATTTGCAAGCCTCACCTATAATATTGTGCTGGAATGAAAAGCAATTTAATAACACACTACATTTCCAAGCACTCTACTCTTCATGAAGCACTTCCCACACCTTCCCTTACCTCAGCACAACAGAATGAGGAGTTCAGAGCTGGCATCAATATTTCTGTTTCACAAGTGGAGTCGAGGACACACACCCAGATGAAGTGTTGTTTTCCATGTTTCCCCTATTAATGGGTGGCAGGGCTGAGGCTGATGGAGGTCTCTGTTCTCAGTCTAATTTCTTCATTTCTACCCTTCCTCACTCTCCCCTTCTCAGCTGTGTTACCCTCGGCATGACATCTCTGTACCTCTGGTTGTTTGGGGGAATAATGCATGAGACCTGCTTGGAACAGTGCTGGGCATCTCAAGGCTCAATGTGTTAATGCTCATCTCCATCACCAACATCGTCATTAAGATCAGACGAAGCTTCAGGGTCCTTCCAAAGCCCTGTACCTAAATGGATAGTTTTAATTTCATATTCTTTTTTCAACCTCTCTCCCCAACCCACCAACACACACACTGTGTCGGTTTCAGATCCCACAGAAACCAGATGCACTGCAGAGAGCACATTCATCCATTCCTGCCAGTGATCATGAGAACTATTCTCCTGAACTTTGGACGTAGGTAGATTCCACTTTTACCTGTTTTTCAGTTGGCTGTGCGATTTCTTATCTTTTTTAAAGTACTCTTTTCCTAATAATAATTATAAAGTTTTTAAAAATCACTGCTCTAGTACTTAGAAGGATTTGAGCGATTGATTTTATGACAAGGAATATTTCATCTGGTACTAAATTTGTTGGAAGTTGACTACAATAAATGCCAAAGTAGACAATTAAGTTGCTATTATATGGAATAAAAGTATTCAACAAGTCTAGGGACTATAGGTCAAAAGGGTTTTTTTTTTTCTCCACAGTAGTTCAATTTAGATCTTCCTAATCAATCTTTTAATGATTTCACCTATCAATATAAGTTTGGCTTTCCAAACATGGTTTCCATAAGATGTTTGCCTCCCTTTGACTCAGGTTCTAGCCAATGAATACATATTTGGTCAAATAGTTAACCAAATTATATAACTATCAAATAGGTGCAGATTTGCCTCAAATACTACTCTCAAGGAATGGCAGGTATAAAATGAGTAAGTGAAACAACGGATTTAAACCAACATGTATTTTGACTTGGGACGCAGACATACCTCACATAATATTAAACAACTCTTGTCTCCTTTCATTCAACAAATTTGTACTGAGCATTTACTATGTGCCAGGCACCATTCTCGGTGCTATAGAAACATCAGTAAAGAAATAAAACAATCCTACCCTCATGGACCAAGTATGAAAAGCAGCACAATAAAAATGTGTAAGTAAATTAATGCAGTATAAAAAGGTGGTAAGTGCTATGGAGAAAGAGCAGAAATGAGAACAGTGAATGTGTGGGATGGGTGCTACAATACTAAATAGGGTGGTCAGGGAAGGCCTCACGCAAAGGTGACATTTGAACAAAATATTAGAAGAGAGCAAGGAACAAGCATGTGGGGAAAGCGTTCTGGGCAGAGAGCACAGAATATGGGAAAACTCTGTGAAGAGATCAGGCTTGGCATGTTCACAAGAACAGTCCTGGAATACAGTAAAAGAGGGGGCAGAATGGATCAGAGAAGTAAGGGGAGGGAGAGCAGATGACGTAGGGCCCTGTCAGCCACTGGTAAGGACTTTGGCTTTACTCTGAGATGGAAAACCATTAGAGGCTTCAGAGCAGAAGACTGTCACAATGCGACTTCCCTTTAACAGGATCCCACTGTGCTCAGACTAGAGTGTAACAAAGGGCAAGGGTAGAAAGCATTAAAGGCTATTGCTACATCAGGCCAGAGATTAGAGTGGCTTGTGCAAAGGTGTTGTGAGTAGAGGTAGTGAGAGGGGGCTACACTCCCCCTTGGATATGGGGATATGAAAGAAGAGAGAAGAATATGACGGCTCAGGGTTTTTGCTTTGAGCCACTAAGAGGATAGGGCTGTCATTAACTCTGCAAGGGAGAATACAAGATAATGGACAAGTTTAGTGTAGAAAGGGTGCTCATGAATTCAGATCTGGAACATTAACTGTGAAATGCCTATTAGGGCGCCCGAGTGGCTCAGTCGTTAAGCGTCTGCCTTCGGCTCAGGTCATGATCCC